TCCGTTGAGACAGACTGTTGAGTAGATGCTTCCTCTCCTATAGCCGATGCTGTTAATTTAATTTAAAGTGAGCAATGGCTTGAGTCACACGGTCAAATGATAGAAACGCCATGATCACTCGCACTCGCAGTACCAACGCCAATTAGTGAGTCATGCCTCGGCCATAAGATTGTTTTATATCAAAGTGTGCTGTAACTGTGCGTATGAAATTTCCTGCGCTTCGCGATTTGACTCAGTCAGGAAGTAACAGACAATTACCAAGGCGTCGGAACTGTAAACACATCCCAGATGCAGATGTTTTTGCAAAACTGATACTACCCGCCATTTGGAATAGCCAGTCGATCTTTTATGCACAGAAGCGAAGTGTTTGATACGCCGTTTGACGCAGGATTCGAACAGTTTTTTTCAGATATCTTCAATACCATGCCGGGCTTAAAGCGCACAAAAAGACCCGCTGCAGCATCCCCGGATAGATGGTTTTGCATTCATCTCCAAGAGACTGTCTCAACACTCATTTCGACTTGTCTTCTGTTCTAGAATTGCGAGAAGTTTTTCTTGTAGTACGGTTTGTTCCTTTCGTTGCTGTTCCAGCTGGGCGAGAAATTTCTCTTCCCGTAGCTTTTGCTGTTCTAGTTGAGCAAGAAGTTTCTCTTCTCGTGCCTGGTGGTCCGTCTCCCGTGCCTTCTGTTCTGCCAATTGTTGTTGCAATGTTTGAACCACCATACGTAGCTCTGGCTGTAAGCCACGATTCTGCGAGGATGTAGCTCTGCGATACCCCGGTCGTTCCTGCGATCCGACCACAGACACTTCAAAGTCAAGTCCGTCGACATCGACACTTAAAGAACCCTCGGCTGGGTCCGGCACTTCTTCAAGAACCCGCATCAAGCGGCCGATATGCAGCGGCAGAAACTCGCGGTCAACATTTTCCACAAAACGATAACACGCCCACCGATCCTCTTTGGTCCAAGCGTTGGGTTGTGCCACAGGCCAGCGGTAAAATGACACTTTACCATCATCGACCTCAGGATAGTGACCGTATATTCGAAAGCCTTCAAGCTCGTGAGATATAGAGAATCCCAGAATTCGTCGATGCACCTCTTCCGTGCGCCCCGCCGCTTGACACAGAGAGACCACAGCCCGCAGGGCAATACACATACTGTGCATATTCTGCCGGTCAGCAAGTTCAAGCGCCTGGTTCCCACATTTGATTTCTGCTGTCAGATAAGGGAAGTACATGTCTTCCCGTGCCGTATACGGCGATTTCTCATCCGGCTTGATTCCGAGCTTACGTCGCTGGCTCTCTGAGAAGGTTGACCATTTCAAGCCGCGTGCGTGATCAGGCTGCGGTTTTGGGCCATATATTGGCTCAGTTTTGAGCCACGGGTCATCGTACCCATCAATCACATCCCTCAAAGCTTGATTCCCTCGTATAAATTGATTCTCCGCGCACGGCATGATGAGGGGGTGTAAGTCCACCAGAAGACGCGCTTCAGACCGGTTCTGCAGTGCATTGTGGAAGGCTGTAATATGCTCGTCGTCAAACAAGGTACCGTTGGGGGGTTCAATCAGCTGGCGGAGAAGACGCTCACACAGCGCGACGTCGTCGGCTATGGGGCCAGCGGAGGACGGCCGCATGAAGCAGCCTTTTGTTTCAAGTATCGTAACGTAGTTCACGGCTCTGTACGCATATGACCTGGTGTCCCGAGCCGAGCTGCTCTCGCTGTTCTCCGACGAAACCGACCGAGCGCGTCCCCGATCCGTAGAAATCGAACGCGATCGGGATCTTTTCGATACCGGTTGGCTCATTGTTTCGGGTGAATCGATCTCCGATGGCGCGGGTATCCACTGATATATTCCGTCTGTAAGCTCCGTGGTCGCATGCGGAGGCGTTGGGATTGCTGCTGGACGTGCTAGAGTATCCGGTTTCTGTACAGTCAGTAGATGACTCGCGCGAAATGCGAAGAGTACTTACTGTGCTATCAAGCTCAGGCGAAAATGGAGAGATCGGGTGCTGTGGATTGATGTGGTTGTGCTCTCTCTTCGGGAATTCTGGGCTTGTGCTCGAGCTTTCACATCGTCGGAGTTTTGGTAGTCGCTCCTCACTGTCACTGTGACAGCCACGTAGTTTAGGTGGCGCTTCGCGTTTCATAACTGTCCTTGTGGCTAATCGACCAACCTCATTTTGGTTTCAGACCTCACAAATGGAGAGGAACACAAAGATGCTGCATCGCGTTTCACCTGCGGGAAGAAGTTGAGATTCGAGTGGTGACGGGTGATCGTGGACCAGAGTTAGCGCGACCCAAATCCTTGGCGGGGCTCGTGCACGTAATGCCCAATCAGGAATCACTGGACAGGGGCGGGGGAATACACTCGGGCCGCCACTTTGGTCCTCATCTAATGTCGGTCATTTCGTTAGACTTTATGTCAGTATGAAGAAATGGGGTACTGGCTAGGACTGAGCATGTCTAATAGCATTGGATGATTGATTATAGGTATCTCGATCGGTTGAGCGATCTCAAAGGTCTCTATAACTGAACCTTGGCGTGTTATGACGCCATACTCTTAACGAAGTTAGGTGAACGCGGAAAAAGTCGATCCTGAAGTGTCCTAGTGGTATTTTACCACTTCTTCAGTTCGTCATTTCATTCAATATGTACACATAAATATCCTTCAATCGTGTTGTTGGTGACTAGGCACCAGATTCCATCCTGTTGTGATATGAGGCTGGTGCAGATCAGGAATCAAGCCGAACCATCGGAATTAACTCCGTGGTGTCTATACAGAAGACCAAGTTGATTGGAAATCAACTTGGCTACACGTTGTATATATAGCCTCATCCTTCCTCCGAGAGTAAAAATAATAATTCATACCTCTGAACTACAACACATCCATCTTCAAAGCTTAATCTACATGATATTTGTAGAAGCACTAAATGAAAACTGGTACTATTGTACTCTTCGCTGGTACATAGCCGAACATAGCAAGGTAATTGTACAAAGCGTCTCCTGATGTGACACCACCAGTCTCAGCAACCACTACCAGCTAACGGAGATTCACGATATAGACGGCATGATTCCTGGAAGAAAATTGATGAATAATAAAGAAGCCAGGGGTACGCCATGTGAAGACACTTGAAGTAAGTTGACTATGTTGAATCGCCTCCTCATCATGACTCGTGCCAATGGACTCATTCCATCGTCGGCGGGAGTTTCAAGAAATCATAGGGAATTCCAAAAGACGCTTTCCCAAGTATGCGTTAGATGTGTTCAGAGCATGCCAGAGCGCAGAGCGACCTTGTAGATCCTGCTGATCGATGATGATATCGCCTCGTGAACGTAGAGAATTGAGAATGTGCAAATTGTTTGGTTGATCATTTCCTTGGACTTTGGCGGCCAAAAGGAGCGCGCTATCTCCGCCAAAGGTGAGACCGTTGATATTGACATTCTCATTTCGTACGAGCATCTCAACTGCAATTGGGTCGTCGTATATAACCGCCAAATGAAGGAGCGTTTGACCGAGGCTGTTCGTCACACTGGCATCGGTGCGAGAGTCTTGCAAGAGTATCTGGAGAATTTCATGCTGTCGGTATTCCAATGCCACTCAAAGTGGCTGCTGTGCCTTTGAGTCTTGACTGAAGACCTCAATGTCTTTTCGATTGAGTAGTTGCTTGATCATGGGCACGCTGCCCCGTGTGATTGCGATCGACAAAGCACTCTGGCCGTAAGAATTGCATAATGAAACCTGAAGGCAATTTTGTCGTAGAAGCCAACTCACAGCCTCGAAGTCGTTTTTTTGGACCGCATGCATCAAAGGCGTAAGCCTACCGTAAAGATGATTGATCCCTGCGGTGCACGCACAGAAGGAGCAATTATGCCGAGCATGCTCTTGTGAGGGATTCTCATCTTGACTGATCATCGTGTCGTCGGAAGGAAGAAATGGCGAACTTGGAAAGTTGCAGTACTTCAGCAAGATTGTGTAAAATCAAGTGCTGGGGTTGAGTGGTGCAATTTTAGGTGTAGAAATAAAATGAACCCTTAGATCAAAGGAAACCAGCGGAGACGGCATCTATTTATCTCGTCACGAACAGTCTCTCTATCCTGCCCGCAAACATTTTTATGACGGGGTCCATAAAGCAACTTTCTATTATCCCTACGTTCCAACTCGAGGCTCGCATGGTCCTTTCAATGGAGGTCGGTGCTGTCACTGAGCAACGGATATCGAAGATCGTCATTGTTATACAGTCTGCAAATAAGACATAGATCTGGGCGATCATCCACATCTCGCAAGTTTTCATGGCAGAATGTTGAACAGTCTTATACCAGAGCTATATGAAGCATTGGAAGGGGTCCCAAAGAGACTCAAAAGATCAATGTAGCTGGGTTTAAGATTTCTGTACGAAGCAAGCCGCAGTAAAAGAGATATTCTCGCAGAGGTGGTACCTAGGAAGCCACAGGACAGCACCAGAGTATATGGCTGGGTCCCCGAGAACGTTGTTCCTGCTCCTGGGACCTGCTTGGATGGACCATGGGAACCTTTGTGACCCCAGGGGTGGTCCTCTTGCTCCTAGCTTCATCAACCGCATCAGCTAGGACTACCAAGCCAAGATCCCTGCTCTCATTGCTGACTCATTGGCAACAACAATCTACAATCTCCACATCCTTTTGATGTCAAATATATACAGTTTTATTGAGGCCTTCGTTGGGGAATCGGTCGAGGGGCATATTTGCCTGCGTCACACCTCATTCCAAGCCCAGAAGACCCTCGCATTGTCGATATCAGGATCTCAGATGCCACACGATATATTCGTAACAATAATATTCGCCATGCTGGTTGAACAACTATAAGTACGTCCTCGAGAGCGTACAATACTCGAATACAAAGCGCTTTATTCTCTTTAACTATCTACTCGAGTTTTTCCCCCCTTCTTCGTTTCCCATTATTTTTCACCCGCTCCCATCGAAACGTCTGCTAGCCTCTGGAACCCTTTGGCTGTCTGTGACATGGGTCTTGCGCCTCGGGGAGAGAACAAGACTTGCTGCGGTCGCACTGTAAAGGGTGCATCTTGCAAAAACCGGCTCAAGCTGCGGGTTACCGAAAAGGGCCATCAGAAGTTGATGAGCCTTGCCGGACGTCCGCTTGACTTGACAACGTTAGAGTTCGCCCTTTGCGATATAGTAAAAGACTTTCTCTGCGGGCGGTGGCATCGGAGTCAGCAGGCGGACGATATTGCTCACCGGTGGTACCAAGCAGCTGTTCGGAAAACGACGCAAGCGGAGCTTAATTTTCACCATCTCCAACCACCAGTGGGGCGTACATCTATGTTTCTTGGAAGTTCAGATGCCCAGATGTCCGAGCCAGATCACACCCACCGGCCATTTCTGGATGACGCGAGTCTCAATTCATTTGCCTACCTTCCTGCTGTGACAGAAGTATTACCAAGTACGGGTCCCTTTGTCAGCGCTGCGACACTAAGAGCAGACAATGTCCCATGGCATATCACACCAGAACAGCCCGCTTTCTTATCATGTGTCACCAATATTTGGGCCGGTGTGTAAGACATAGAACTCCACAGTCTGGGTCACAGTGATGAGGCTTACGACATGCATTGCACCTTTTGTCTGGCTGAAGATGAGGAAAGTGTGCATGAAAGCGTAGTACTACGCTGTGGGGAGTGTCGAGCTTTGTCACATCTTTCTTGTGCTGAAGATTGGTTGGACAAGAGAGACACGGGATTCAACACGTCGTGTTGTGTTTGGTGAGCGCAACTACCCACAGACTCGTGGAGAATATACTAACAGTAGGATACAGTCGCAACGAGGGAGCTCTGGAAGCCTTTATTCGCCCATGTGGAGGCGTGCCAACTAATATTGGAGCATGTACCAACAATGTGACTGCGGATGCGTCTCGTCCAGCAACATACAAATCCCAACTGAGCAACGAGCTAGTTCAGTGATGAGGCGTCGGAGTTCAAATCCGTCAAACAATTACCATCGCTCAGCAAGGTTGGGGAAAATACGTCGTCAGCTCTCCAGCCCCAATCAATCTAAATGGATTACTTCGCGGTGGTGGGCCGAAGTGCTTTTTCACGGTTTCAGAATGATACTAGACAAAAGAAAACCTTTCATTTGAGAAGTTCTTCCCATTCTTAAGCTATAAATAAATACAGAATCAGCTTTCGCTTATCTTCAGCACTGCAGCGCAACTGACATATCTCAAAGATGGAAACATCTTGGCCAGCCCTGTAGGTGATCGAGTAGCCCAAATCAGAGCGACAATCGCCACTCAATTGCCACATCCAACAGTCAGCGAAGTAAAACTGAGAACGGGTTGCCTAAGAATGTCGCTACATACAGGGATTGCATTTGGCGATAGAATTGGGATAGTCATTAAAAAGAGTAGTTCCTCCGAATTTATGGTAAGATGAACCTCGTTGATAGCTTTTCGCGCCACCAGCACTCCGGGCATTGAAACGAATAACCATCCTGCCAGCGTCGTACCGCGCTTGGCCAATAATTTGAAAGACCGCCAAGTTTGTCCGGAGACCGATCTTCGTATCTTTTCCAAAAGCCTTTTCTCCTTGCCCGCCTCCTCAGACAGTCACAACAAAGGCCCAGGGTCTTATCGCGCCGACCTTGTTCATCCAGAGGCTCTATGCGCCTAAAAAGGAGGAATATATCCGAACATGTCGATGGCGGCAGAAACTGGTGCTTGGTGACTGATGGTACGCGAATTCGTACAAGCGTAGAAATTTGTAGCAGGTGTCTGCACGCCATAGCGAAACACATTCTATCCAAGTAATCGCAGCGTTTGAATACCTCCAGAAGGACTTCTGTAGGTAGACAAAGAAGAGGTGCCGTTATCAGGGACTTCTCTGTCAAGATCTAAATCTTATTAGATAAACAATGCTGCCAAGGAGTGTCACTACCCACGTTATTCGGCCGACGAAACCATGAACGACACGAGCGATGATGAGAATCCGAAGTTTTCCATTCCATATCTCAAGGCTGAAATTCGTCGATCGAGTGAATTGAACTTTGTTTTTTTCCCCAAATTTCTGTGTCCTTTGTATCTGGCGTGGATGTATCTGATGTGGATGTAACTGGTGTGAAAATATTAAATGTCTTACAGGAGTAGCCGTGCCGGAGGACACTAATCCGGCCACCCCGAATTAGTGTCCCCCACCGTAATGCAAAATATCACCGTAATGCAAAACACTTTCCCGCACGTCTTCTTCCCTCAATTATACATCCTTAACTATGGCCGATTTCTATGAAAATGAAGTATTTCGTATGGAAGAGGCTGTTGGATATGCCTCTACCCTCAAAAAGCCAAATTTGACGCAGATCGCGGAGGAATATGCTATTTCGTATTATACTCTGTACCGCCGAGTCCGTCAAAAATCAACGCCCAGAATTCAACGAAAACCACAAAATAAGGCTTTAAATGACGTCCAAGAGAAAGCTTTATCCTTCTGGATTCGATCATTGGATGAAGCTTTTATCCCTCCGACACCAAATATTATAGAACAGTGGGCAAATCTGACTCTTGCCCGATCGGGAACATCAGACCGAACAGTCGGAAAAAACTGGGTTTATCGCTTTATTCAACGTTTCCCGGATGTTGATTTTGAGATGAGACGACAGAAGGTTATAGATTCAAAAAGAATGAGCCACGAAGATGTTGCTATTCTAGAACATTGGTATGATTTATTAGACAAAATTCTTGATGGTGTACCAGAAAGGCTTGTCTATAATTTTGATGAAACTGGCTTCCAATTGGGCCAAGGACAAACTCAGAAAGTCTTTACACGTCATAAAACAAAGATTCCACGTCTTGCCGGTGAAGAACATGGAGAGCGAGTTACTGTCGCAGAATGTATTGCGGCTGATGGTTGGAGAATGGAACCCCTCGTTATCTTTAAAGGACGCCATCAAATGGAGGCTTGGTATGATACCAAATTACCTGAGGAGTGGATGACTGCAACTACTGAGAAAGGCTATATGGTTGATGAACTTGCTGTGCTTTGGATCAAAGAATTTGACCGTCAAACGCAGCATCGCGTTAAGCAAGGCGAGCAAAGAATTCTTTTAGTTGATGGCTGTGGCTCACATCTGACATTTGAATTCTTAAACTCTGCTGAAAAAGCTGGTATCAAGATCTTTGGTTTTCCACCAAATAAGACAAATTATATTCAACCTTTGGATGGTAAGCCATTTTTGGCTTATAAGGCTTATTTTCGTCAACAAAATAACCTCATTTCACAGTGGGGTGGGGGTCTTACAGCAAACAAAAACTCATTTCTCGAAGACCTTATGGGCTTTAGAGATAAAGCTTTGACACAGAGAGTTTGCCGAAATGCGTTTCGAGAACGAGGAATTTATCCAGTCAATGCTAAAATTGTCTGTCAAAAACTGGAAGATGCCCTTCCTCCTATCCCAGATATATCAATTGATCTTCGGGATCAAAAAACACCATCACCACCACTGGAAAATATACTATCTTCAAGTCTAGAGAATACACCTTCAAAGACTACAGAAGACGTCCAGAAACGCCGCAAAAAACTAGCTCCCTTAATGGAATTAGATAGTATTACACCTCGGCAAAAACGGACGTTAGATCAAATACTTACAGAGATGGATTTCCACGTTCAGGCGATTCAAAACGCATCTTCTACGATCGCAAAAATAGCCCAAATCCAGGCCCCACGGGCTAAAAAATCTACCAAACGGCGATTATTAAACCTCAAAGATGATGGAATTTTACGTGTTAAAGATGCAAATCGATCTATTGCTGAGCGACGTGCTAAGGAAGATGAAAAAGAGGATAGACGGGTGGCCAAAGATTTTAAAAAACGCTTTGGATTTGAACCTTCTCGACCCTCAACAGATAAATCACCTATTGTGTCTTCTACGCCGATTCTTGGAGATAATGGTGATATAATTGCATATCAAGATTCATTTAGTATTTAGTTTAAAAATTGATGTTTTGTTGCGTGTTTTGCATTACGGTGATATTTTGCATTACGGTGGGGGACACTAATTCGGGGTGGCCGAATTAGTGGCCGACGGCACGGCTAGTTCATTTCACCTTTCCTCCATTAAGCGTGATGCGACGTCGGACATGTGACGCAGGTACGTTGCCATGACAACAAGTTACTCAATATTATAATACATTCTTTTCACCATGTTCGCTTTGACTGAGTCAAATTGTGAGGCGTAGAAAATTTCATACATAGTCACAACAGACTTTGATAAAAAAATCTTATGGCCACGACATGATTCACCCTGTGCTGGTACTACGAGTGCGAGTGATCATGGTTTTTCTATTATTTGGTCGTGTGACTTAAGCCATTGCTCTCGTTTAGTTGAAATTAACAGCACCGGTTATAGAGAGGAACTATCTACTCAATAGTCTGCCTCAACAAGCCTCTCCCAACAGCACTGCGAAAATTATACCCACGTTGATGACCCTTCAACAGGTGTTAAATGAAACGAGTCATTGTGCATCCGACCAATCAGCCTGATTAACACCATGAAATCTTGGGCTATCGTTCAACCTCTAGCCTGATAGCTGATATCATGAAGACATAGACAGATGATAGTTTGACTTTCGATTCTTTAATTCTATGTAACTTTTATAAACCATATATTAATGTGAGGCAGCGATGTTTTGTATGGAAGGATACCCTGCACATAGCCCGACTGCTAATTCTCTGGTGTCTAGTCTTGCTTGCGTGATAAAGTAGCTGTATTTCAGATCCGTACTTCACCTACTTCTATTCCAACCATTGCTACAATGGAAACGCGTGAGATATTTTTGGCCCGTACGGGGCACCTGCAGTCTGAACATGGTGATGTAGGTTTCCTTGACAGAAGACTACAGCGCCGCGAGGGCTGCAGGCGGGCCAGTAGCACTCCGTATATTTCAGGAGGAAGCAAAGCTATGCGGAAGCATACGTAGTACATACATGAGGGGTTCTGCGGCGGGCGGGAAGAAACCGCTGCGAGGAGAGCCCAACTCTCCTTCGAAAGGAACATCGCCGTTTCGAAGGAGAGGATATTGTAGTGATATAAGGCTGGTGCAGATCAGGAACCAAGCCGTCCCATCGGAATTAATGCCGAAATATCTATACAAAGAATCAAGTTGATTTCCAATCAACTTGTTCTTCTCGTTGTATATATAGTCTCATATTTCCCTCTGGATGACAATAACAATCAATCAATCTTCCTTTGAACTACAACAGGAAGAAGCCCCGAAGAACCCGGTATTACACAAATGTTTGCTCTAATATAACATCCTCCCATCATAGATAAACAAATCAGGGTGTAAATAGTGCAGGTTACTTTTCACCGCGGACTGATTTAACTTCGAATTTTGTGGGTACCAAAATTAGTACGGTGCGTCGTTAACCGTACGACGCCCAGCTTGTGAAAACGATTGGGTTCTTTAAAGATCAACCATGCAGAGGGTAAAAACAAAAGAATGGCGTCGCCGCTTTCACCGCTTAGCTCACACAAGACACGGTTATTAAACGAAATCAGGCATCAATATTTTTTTTTCTCTGATGGTGAACCATGAAACAAAATATTCTGGATTAGAAACTTATAAATTTACAGGGATATTGAGCAGCTCGGGGCAAAAAGGTATGTTGATCGCAGCAAGGTGTTTGATGCATAGCCGTTCAGCCAACGATAGCTTAACTTTCCGTTAGACCGTTTCTCCCCTTGCACGCCTTTGCTATTGTCAATAATTCAGAGTCTAAACGGACCCTCATACCCTCATTTTCAATATAAAACCTCAGAAATGTAGCTTCATAGAGTGCTTTCTTCCAAAGTTTTGTCTACGCCAAAAATTGCGAATATGCCCCAAAGAATTGAGCGTCGTTTTCTGACTTCTATGTCCATCAATTTTTTTCGCGGCTATCACTGCCCTGCTAGCTCCCACCGCTTGAATTACGAAAGTCTAGACGAAGAGCGAACGAACAAAACCGTAAGTCCCTTATTAAGGAAAATAGGACAGAATCAGGCTGAGTTTAAGCAGATTTTGTCCCGAAGGCCTCTTAAATCCCCTCGTGAAACCATGGATCTACTTTTCGACGGCTACCGGCCCATCTATAAACGCCACGCACTAGGCTGGGAAGTCGAATCTACATTTCTGCTCAGCACCTCACAGCAGATGTGCTATTACAAAGATAAACTGTTCGGCGGATATGCTACTTTTCTGATGGACCGGATTCTTGTCGATAGCTGTAAACCCACAACTGAGGAACCTGCATTCACCGCTTACCTCAACACATCTTTTAAACGACCGATTGCCCCTACAACACCAATAATGCTCCGTGCATGGCCTGAGAAACTTGATGGTCGGAAAACCTTTGTCAGGGGATCGGTACATGTTCTTGGTGAAAGTGATGAGTGAGTCGAGGCCATTCAGGCCGATGCTCTATTCATCAAGCCTAAGATTTGAGATTTTCCTATGAGCCGTGGCCGTCACATTTTAGGTGTGGGAATTAAGCCAAATTGCCATCTATAAATATGCACGTTCATGTACAACTGAAAAAACTACCTGTTCCAGATACATATATATTTACACGCTGTTTATTGAGGTCTTAATCGTTCCTCGTTCATATCGTCTGACTCATAGCCATGAATATAATATATACCTATGAAGTTGTGAATCGATCAGATAATTGCTTGTTTGCATGAGGAGTTGAGTCTTCATAAGAGAGCAAACGTCCGGAAGCTCTTGATATACGGCAATTTCTACTTTTGACAATGGAGCATACTCAGAAAACAAGCATCTTATCTGAAGACCCTCCGGCCTATGCAAAACATGGTATGTTCAGCCCGGCACCTAAGAGAGTATACACACGCCTAAAACCCCCACAGATTGGAGACACGCTGAAGAATTCTGGGAAGCGAGAGAATCGAAATCGCCCATTCAAAGGTGGAAAATGTCTATTTGTATCGATGTAGCCTTTTTGAAGTCAGCACACCGGTTCTCTTCTCCGCAGAGCTTCCGAGATGGAAGAATAAATTATCTACAGGCCAAGTCCCGAGTGAGATGTTTCCGCCAGGAAATCAAGGAAAGAGACCTGAGCTATGAGGATATTAAACCAATGAAAATGTCCGTTTACGGCGAATATGCTAAGGTGATGAATTTGGTTGAAGCTTGGACAGGTGAGTGACCGAAGACAAAATGAGAAAGGTGGGCTATTGACCTCGTCAGACTACCGATACCCTTGCCCTTGCCAGTGAACAAAGTAGGGCAGGATCTAAGGAATGCACTTCCAAGCATTCTGCTTGAAATTAATCATAGGCAGCAAAAGAATGAGGGTCGAAAGCAAATTCGCCCCTAGGCACATGCTTTCTTTCTCGAGTCGTCCACGAGACAGTGCTAGACCTTATTGCCCTTAATAGAGCACCAATCTGAAATCTTTCATTGCATAGACTCAAGGATACATGTAATTGAAAATTTGAGACTAGCGCTTTTTGACCAAGCATTGTTTGAGATAAATAATTTCGAAAGTTAACAGGTAACTTTTATTTCACATTCGAAAAGCTCAAACTGATACTAGAGCTCGTACTGATAATCCCTTGAATTAGCTGAACGACATGCTTATTTTAAATCCGAGACCAATGACTCATATTAACCATCGCGTTCGATATGGTCATCTCTGTGTTCTTCGATAAAGTCTCTATCTCTAATGCTTGAAAGTTGCAAGGGAGGGCTCCTCTCAGGGCTTGCGCTTTTCCTATACATATCTCGGTTTGCGTTCTCCTCAACATTACTGGCAGCTGGAACTGGGCAATAAGGGTGTGAAATAGACCCGCGATTGGGATGAGCTTTGCTGGTTTTGGTAGCGCCATAGTCGGTGGTTTGATGACCCTCGGATAAGGTGAAGTCACCGGAAATCAAAGTATTTTCGTTCCTTGATACTGTCAGTGAGTAGAAAATGTAGCAAGTAACTTTGAGTACATGTAACTTGGGTCTTTGCACTTGTACTGCCCCACTTGGCCATTTCCTGTACCTGAGACAATGTTAGTATCTCTTTTCATGGTTTGTTGTGGAGAAACTCACTTCAGGATTCAACTTTTTGCGCTCATATTGCATTTCTCGAGGTGATATACAAGATCTCAGAAAAAAAAATTTTGAGCTCCCGACTTGGATTAGGTCATTAATGTGGGAGGCGTAGAACTCCAGGAGACTCCGAGACGTCATTGTGTCGGACTGAATGAGGCAGAATTACGGTCATTACGTACGTGTATGCACTCTTGGCTAGTTCTTATTGGTAATCGCCCTATATAAAATAGTCAGGGGTACATTACTAGAATGACAGACCGACTGATCTAAGGCCCCTTATTGGTTTAGCGTATGACAGGCGAATTAAAAAAAAAAGAAGGGAATGAATTGATCGATCTTGTCTGTTTAGGAGACTCTGCTTCTCTTTACGAGGTAGCAATTTCCTGTGCCAAATGTCTTTCATCATCCTGAATCACCTTCCTTAATTTGAAGAGCTTGAAAAATACTAGCAACGCAAAGAAAATACAAAATGTCAAGCCAGTGATAACAGTAGTGACAATTGACATTACAGACCATTGACCACCACGGGACGTGTATATGTTGATGATTGTAGTGAGCAGCCCCGCTGCCGCGTTTAGTACCGCTGGCCTTCTTCTCGTGAGCGTGGGACGTTCATCAAGTTAAACTTCCGGACCACTTACGTGAACAATTTATTGATAAGCCATGTATAAGTCCTTCGTAGTTTGCGAACTCGTAGTAGCAGTAGAATACCAGTAATTGCGCCCACAAAGAACAGAAAGGCGATGGCGAGCAGAGGAGGATTCTGTATGGTGCTTAAAACTGCTTGGCCGGCCTTGTTACTGCTAAGAGCATCCTCGACTTGACTAGAATTTTGCAGTGAAGTAAAAGTACCTGGTATGACGAGATATCCTGCTAATAGAGTCCAATTTGCTGCACTAACAGCGATGTTGTATCTCATTTCCATCTGGGCTTCATCCCTGAGCATGTTTGCGTAGACCGTTTCATTGACGCAATTTGTGGTGGATTCGAATGTCTTTATAGGACTCACATCATGCTCAGGTTCTGCGACTAAATCATGTAATTGCTCTTTGTGGAGCTGGGTGGGCTGTTCTTGAATACCTGTCATGACTTTTGCAGAGAAAATTCAGCATTGGCATTTTGGCTTGCCATAACCTCAAGCAGGTTCTCGAGACAAGTGAGCCCTATTTATGGCAGAGATGATTACCCAAGATGGAAATTACAGTCATTGAGATTCACAATTAATTTCACATCTGGGGAAAATTGGCATGAGCTGGGAACATCAATTTTGTGAGGAGGCTGGTTAACAGATGCACCGATGTACGAGGCACTCAGTTTCTAGTAAGCTAGCTCAATAAAACGCGACATCGGTAAAGCAAACCTTCGGATTATTGAAATTGATTTTATCAAACCCTAGCCAAATAAAACTCTCAACTTGTTTTGGAAGCCCGCTAGAGGTATCATTCGTCAGAAAGTTGAAGATTGTACGTGGATGGTCGTATATCTTACATCAAGAATAGAATACTGAACATTTTCGCAACAGGGCTAGATTATACGTCAAGCCAGGCAGCAGTAATTAGCTCTGGTAGCTAGTTACTTACAATACTTCCCTACTAATGGGCTTGGCATGGAATTTTCACCTTCGAAAGCCGCTGTGGTGTTTGCTCCAGGAATGCTCTCGAAGTGAGAAGACGATGTCAGTATAATTAATACACAGTGATCCAGACAAGTCAAATCACAATGGCCTCTTGATTTATTACAAGTTATCTCTAGCCTGAATAAAATGTAAGCAGGCAGTATACAGGCAATCACCGGCTGTTATTAAAATGACATGAGACGCTCAGCACACCATCATACTCCGAACCCCCGTTTGCCCTTCAAAATTTCTGGAAAGCTTTCCGGTACGCTACTGAGAAAGAGTGAGTATAGCTTATGGAATAAAATCTGTTGCAAAGAAATGAATTCCTTTATTGACACGGTTCATACCAATATTCATACATAAGCTACTTGTTATGGTTAGTGGCAGTTGCCACGGGATGGAAAAGCCGCACACCCTGGCCAACTTGTACACAGACAGTGAACGTATTCCCAGAGCTCGCTAATTTTCCTGCAATATTAATTACAAACGATGTTCCGCTCGACGATGCACCGGTCAGATAGCAAAGGATGGCCAATAATAAAGATCCTTTTAGCGCTGGGGTGTAATAGCCAATGAATGCGTGGCCGTAATTCCTGTTCTGATCTTATTCTATCAATTGTCCGATCGTGTCTTGGAGAAACGCAGCGTGTCATAAAGCCTTACCAAGCGGGAAGCCATGTCATCTCAAGCGTCAAAGAGCCTGAGCATAGAAGTCTGCAGCTAATGACACCATTTTCTATGGACAATATACCGCTCAGACAGACGTTGAGTGGAGGCAAGTCGACTACCTGGTTCACTTGACAAAACCATTTTTTCGGTTCACCATGGCGTTGATGAAGACCAAAGACGTCACAATCCACAGCGTGTTCCTCGTGTACAGGAAACTCTTGGAGCATATCGAAAGATCAAATCGCAAATTGAAGAGAAAAACCACCCCCTGGAAGAAGGACATGTATGGCGCGTTGCTCGCTGCGAGGCAAAAACTGAAAGAGTATTATGAAAAGACCTACCGCGCCCACGGTTTCCTTTATGGCACGGGAACATCACTTGCTCCTCAATATAAGTTGAGTGCCTTTGATGATAGAGAGTACTCGACTTGCCATGAGAATACGTCAAAAAGGTATTGTGAATACTTGAGAGCGTGTTTCACACAGTACCAACAGCAAAACCCCGAGCTATTATTCCGGACAGTGCGGCGGACTTCCGCTCTCAATAGTTCGGAGCTTGATCGACTACTTGAGCCACTTGATGCATCCATGCTGCACGAACGGGCGGATTATGACGAGGTAGACCAGTACCTCAGAGCAGGTAAGGGCATCCGCCACAGTATACCAGGGCGACTGATTAACTTCTGATAGCAAATGTCCCCCTCCCGCCACGGATTTATTGGAAGGAGCACGAGCATGAGTTCCCAATTCTCTCTCGGCTTGCACGAGATTTGCTTTCGGTTCCGGCCACCGGCGCAGGTGTAGAAAGGCTTTTCAATAGTGCACGAGACATTTGCCATTATCGTCGGGGATCTCTGCATGAAACGACAATTCAAGACTTGATGATGTACATGTGCTCAGAAAAACTCACGCTGGAGGAGCAGCAACTGACCCGCCTCGAGAAGCCGATGGAGGGCGAAGGCCAAGAGGCACTTGAAGAGGATGAAGCGCTGAAGGCAATCGAAGAGGATGCTGAGCCGATCAGCGACGATGAGGAAGTTGACGAGGGGGACGATTTAGAGTTTAATTCAGAGCTTCAGGAGCCATACCGGGTAGACTGCGCGCTAGCAGAGACTGGCAGGAGTCCAATATGTAGCCAGACTTACAATATGGAACATGAGGAGGACAGCGTGGAGGAAGAAGTTGACGAAGACGAAGAAAATTCACTTCCACCTCCTATCACGCAACTTGGTGGAAGAGATCAGCGGAGATCTTCTGGGAGAGTTACAATGCCCTCCACTCGACTGCAGGGTTATGAGATCTACTAGTCGTAGTCATGAGCGAATATAATTATGTTTTTGTCGATAAAAATTGATCATAGGGTCCCTAGCTGTAGACCCAGGCATTCGAACAGAAGTGATACCATTATATAATCGAAAATTACTGCACAATTTAATGCCAAATGACAAGTCAACTTTTTTTGCTTTTTTGGGTTATCGTGGGTGCCCATTTGGGCCTTGGGTTGGGTTGCCCAGATGACAACCCGCCCATGGGCTTGCTGACTAAGACCCAACCCTACCCATGGGCTGGGTTTTTCCGGGCGGGTTTGGGCGGTGGGCGGGTTTTGGCGAGGCCTACTTTCTAGATTGAAGACCGATTTCCGACAATCATGTGACTGCTGAATTATTTAAATTTATTCTGCATGAAACCAGAGATACTTAATATTATAACCAAGCATACAATTCAATAATAGTGGATATGCGACTCCTTAAGCCGGACACTTTCAAGTTTATCTAACATTTGGCGAATAATCCCTTTTAACATTCAAGATGCAACAATCATGAACACCGCTATTTTCAGTTACATACATCGAGTCGAAAGCTGAACGGACTAAGGTCGTCTAGAAAGAACCTAACATCACCGTTGTTCAAACGCATGTGCTCGGAAACTCGCGGAAAATTCCGCCCTTGTTTCTTTCGCGAGTGAAAGTATTGACCATTAAATTGCAGTGTTGGTGCAGTCTCAATTTTTCGGCAAAGTATCAGAGTATATTATTGCTTCGAAGCTCGGCCTTAGCACAATAGTTTCAAATTTTAACCTTTTAACCATCATATCCTTATTTTGTCCAGCTTCTTCTTCAATTTCGGATATTGGGTTGTCTTTGGAGTATCAGAGCGTTTGTCGGCCCTCAGAGATAGCGACAGCCCCAATGAAATTGCATTTTACTTCGTGGCGTTTGATATTACTAATCACTATTCAGCGTAGCAGAAAAGATATTTCTTTCTTGAAAAGCACAGGCGCTGGTTATATGTGAGGAAACTCTACATTTGCGGTCGCACGGATTGTGATCAGCAAAGATTTAGTCGAGAATCGAGACTATTGCTTGTCCCATCCGTTTACGCCTGGACGGTACGGCAAAGCACTCTGATTTCGCACGCACCCAGTAGGAGAAATGGCCTGCACGTGCATTCCGACCAGGCGCGTCACAAATGCGATCCAACCGTGTTGATTCCAGGCCATACGAGGCATTCTTCGGCCTCCTTGCGTTATCTCAATATCTCCACCCGAGCATGATGTCATATAACATCACGGAAAACGGTTAGGCCACTAACGCAGCTCCAGATGTCATGTTCATACCAAGGAACCCCGTAGAAAAACGAGACGTCCTTGAGAGTCTCCCGAAGTTCCAGTCAACTTTTTACGTCTAATTTTCAAAACTCCCCCATTTCCCATTCAAAGTTTCAACACCAAACCAACATCTCTTCTCCCTTCAATTTCTACTTAACGAACCAGTAGGTCTGCCTCTCCCTCTCTACCTCTACCACCATGTCTTTCCTCGCCTTTATCCGGGCCTCATCCCGCCAAGCCATTCGTTCCAACTTCGCCCTCTCTGCCTCTGCATTTCACACCTCATCAGCGCGAAGCTTGAATGAGAATGATAGACGTCAGTATACAAACCAAAACAATCTGCGATTGCCACGACTAACCCTACGCAGACTGCGAAGACCTCCCCAACCACTACGAATCCCACAAGCAGGAGGGCCTCAAGGATAACAAGGATGGGAAGGGAAAGTGGAAGTCCGAGTTGGCAAGTACAAGCGAGCAGAATGTGAAAATTCCCCTTTCCAACCTCGTGAAATCTATTGGAGCTAACATGTTATTCAATTAGTTGAGAGCGGATCGGGGTGAATTTGATGGCGAACATCCCAGTTTCGAGTCCATGCAGCAGAAGACGAAACACTTACCTCATGAGACCTACAAGGAATCCGGAAATAAGCAATGAGTGAAGACTGAATAGTTGGGCTTTTGGGGTGTTTGATTGATCATACTTGAGGTTTATTTTTGTCCTGGTGCATGTATTTGATATTTGAGAGATGTCGTTGCGGAATTTTCTGGTGTGATTTGTACAAGGTTTAAGGCATTAACAATGTCAATCGAGAGATTAATTTGTTATGGTTCCCTGAGCAGGTCAGTGATTTGGAAGAATATGGTCAACGATAGAAGCATAGACATAGTATGAACAGATCATCCATGCCATCCTGCAAGCGGCCAAAAATGCCAAGTCTCACGGAATCACAAGTCACCTACAATGGATACCCGGTCATTCCGAGGTGCCCGGCAATGATAGAGCAGATAAATCAGCCTGAGAGGTAACAGTGCCTAGGAAAACCTACCTATTCGCCTCTACTATCTCACGAGAAGGCCGTCATACGACGAGTGATCTATTCTGAATGGGGGAAGAAATGGAACGAATCCAGAATAGGTAGCCACCTTCGGCGGGTTGATAGCACACTACCAGTCAAATACACAAAGCAACTTTACTGGTCCCTACCTAAAAGCCGAGCCTACTTGCTGACACAATTGCGAACGGGGCACTGTCCTGTGTAGAGTGTAGGCGATCTTTATGACCCTTCTTGCTATATCTGTGACCAGCACTAATGTAATACTAGAGGTTGGGGTGAATTTCTTGCCACTCTGACTAAGAGCCTGCTGGCAGAATGGTCATCGTTTGGCCAATCATCGCGGACCCCCCCCCCCCCCCCCCCCTTCCAAACGTTGAAAAGCAACTTTTCACCACGGTTCACTCCATTTTTGGAGGATTCGAAGTCTCAACAGATTAACTTTAACTTCGCCGTTCTTAATACCTTTCGAATTGCTGTATACTCTTTTAATGTGAGGCCATCATATTATTCGACCTATTTTTCACCACCTAATATATCTCAACGCTTTTTCAGAATTGATAGCCTTGATAAGTCTGAATTCCGGTTCCATTTTACTGAAAACTTGGCAAAGTCACTCATGAGTTAGAGCTCATGCGGAGTTTAATCAGCGCTGACAAGACCTCTTTGCCGTCGCCAGATTCAAACACCCTTTTTATTTCATCCTGCTGATCCAATCGTCTTTTTGAGACATCCTTCCTTCCCATATTCGGTCTTAAATTCACAACTGCCACATGAACCCCTAAAAGCACAATCAGAAGGTCTTCTGTGGAACCCGGATTTCTCCACGCTTTTTCCATATGCTGGACTCTGACGTCAATGGTAGCGATTACACACCTGCTATTCTAGACACCAGTGCTTCTCGAGACGGTCTCACGGGATCATCTAAAATCATCCGCGGGTTCTCTGCGTCCCAGGTCTCTTCCTCCAAACGGTTACACGCGCCGGCTGTGGATGTCAGTCCCATCGCTGGATACACAGTTCCATCTGAAGCTGATACAACGGAAAAGACAGGTCAACCATTTACTTTGAAGGGTTCATCCTGGGACGATCAAAGCTCCCCTAGTGGAAGTTTGGATGCTGTGACGAAGGCTCGATTGCACAGGTACTCATCCGAGTGCCTGACTCAATCATGCTCCCGAAGCAAAGCCGCCTCCCTCGATGTTGCGGTCGAACTGATGACAATCAAACCGAGTAAAGAAGGGACCAGTAACGACGATAGCGCTACAGAATCCAAAGATGACCCTGATAGTTTATTGAATAATAATTACTGCCCGTCTGACTGGGAAGACATGGCCTCCAAAAGTGGCGTATCCAGTGTTGACGAAAAGGAACTCTTTCCATGGGCAGACCTATGGCCAAGCATTGTATCGCCGCCGTCGCTGCTTTCAGCGATGATATATGAGGCCTCGCCGTTGACGGTCCACCCTGCTAAAGCAATCAGAACAGGACAATCAAGATTGTCGCCTGCACTTCAACGGTTGTGTGCTCCACCAAATGGCCCTTCCTTGACATCTTCACAGGACAGGGGTTATCAAAACACATTGATAAGGAGCGGCCTCGATATTCCGTATTCTAAGCTGGGCACTCATACGCCTTCCTGTTCTGTTGCCGCTTCACCCAAACCTACTTCACCCAAACCTACACCGGAGGATATTCTAGTGGATGAGGTAGTGGATGAGGTCAACGAGTCGCTAAGATGCCACCTGCAGTGGGAACGTCAACAGCAAAGTACCACGATTGATGCCGTTTTAAATCGACAACATAAACTGAATATTACGGTAGACCTCAAAGAATGCCCTTTCTCCCTGAAATGTAATAATGAGAGCCAAAAATATGGGCAAAGTGATAATGTGGCTCCTGATTCGCCAATGGAGACAGGACAATCTCATGAGAACAACGTACGGAACCACTACTTCGATGGCGACATATGAGAATCTCACGTCAAGTGATGGCGTTATTTTAGGTAAATGCAGTCGGAGAGGAGAGCCGCAGGATCGAATTTTTTTCTTTTCACTGCATTTGTACCTTAATGGCGAGAACAGCATTAAGTTTCCTTCTCTGATGGTCTACCAGGAAAGCGGCGGGCCTTGGCATATATGAATAACAGCAGTGACGAGTTGACAAGTGAGGCAACAAAGTAGCTTTATGACTTCTTCTTAGTTCAACCACAGACAATTAAAGAGAAGTACAAAAAATGTGCCCATATTCTTAACACTCAAGGTGTTATTCATCGCATGGGAAGCTGTTAATTTTGTTAAGCGCATTAAATCTGAACATCGTCCGGAATTACCGGAATAGTTGCCTATTGTAGTGGGAGCTGTGCCCATGCCTAAGGCTACGCAGGCTCTGCCGATATCTGTGTACGTAATATACTGCCTTACTATGCCTATGTGGTTCTGGCAGCACTGGATAGCTTCATGAATGGCACACATCTCTTCATTACTGAATTTATAGCCCATCCTAGGCTTCCTTCTCCCTTGTAGGCGTCCTCTACAGCCCATTTTGGGTGTGGTGTTTTGGCTGGATCGACCCGTACGGCATGACCGTATTGCCATCGACCGTTCCCCTCTTCACTAACTATGTATAACTATTACATCATACATTTGGAATCACATGCTAGTCTGCGCACGGTCCTCTTTGCTAAATTCAACAGAAGAGGCTCATCAGTCCCAAAAGATATTTTATTGAGGGTGGATGTACCTGAACCAGCAATCAACCTTATCAGTGTTTATGATATATATACCTTACTCGACACCCATTGGATTTCCTCTACTGTCAAGTTGTTCATCATACACATTTTATATAGGCTTTCTACGGAGGGCACAATACTCAAGATCGAGATGATTGGAACATCTACTGCTGAGTACTTCTTCATACGAATTTGCATCCTATTTCTTCACAACATTGCACCAATTAGCACTTTATATTGTACTCATTTACTCGTCGTTCAATTCTTTCATCTGCCTACTTATCTTGAACGCATACCCTACTCCATCCAGATCTGGCTGACAGCAGAAGCAATATTTTTCACCACCATCTTCATACCACTCAAATACGCTCTCAGCCATTCTACTATTTGCCACACATCATTGTCTGCAGAGTGTAGAGAGAAATTGTTTAAGAGTTGCAATGAGAATGTGCCAAATCTAGAGAAATATCTCAGCCGGTGGCTTCTGGTCGCAGAAAGCCAATACATCAAGCGCGATGATGTAAAGGACTTCATCAGATGGTCATGCTTTGGGCCTATATGCACGGGCGAGCAGTTCCAGCAGCATGAGGAAGAAATTGAGATCTATACAACAGAAATTGAGAGGCGAATTGGACGAAATCTGCCACCAGGAAGGATGGGTGTGAAAGGCCTAGGGCAGCTTCTAAATGAAGCAGGCGGTTCACACCGTAGTTTGCTGTGGTACACCGTTAGTCACTTCTATCTCTTTCTCTCTCTGCTCTGTGTGATGGAACCCATGTCAGGCTAACATTCAAGTTCACCTAGTGTGTCTTTGTGGTTGATACAATAACGTATTGCAAGAAGTTGTGCCATGGATTTCACTTCCATCGCAACATGCTCCTGCGATTCTTCACCGTCTTTCCTTGTCGACCTCTCACGATATTCACGGCCTACCAATCGCCGGCACGGCATCTCACATACTGGCATCGCCCGCATACATCCAAAAACCGGCTACCAGTACTATTCATACACGGCATCGGAATTGGCCTGTACCCTTACACGGGCTTCCTCAGAGATCTTAACAGGGAGCTAGAGATAGGAGCGACTGACGATAGTAAGATTGGCATCATTGCACTTGAGATCATGCCGGTAAGCTCTCGCATAACTCATCCGGCCCTGCAAAAGGATGATATGATACGTGAGATTATGGAGATCATGCGGTATCATGGGTGGAACAGATTCATGCTTGTGTCTCACTCTTATGGTTCCATAATCGCTGCACACCTTCTCAAATCCGAATGCTTTGCTGCGCTCATCGGACCTACGGTCTTCATTGATCCAGTATCATTCCTCCTCCACCTACCTGACGTGACATACAACTTCATAGCCCGTCGGCCAGCACGAGCTAATGAATAACAGCTATGGTATTTTGGAAGTCAAGACATGGGAGTTGCTCATACGTTGGCGAGGAGGTTTTTCTGGATTGACAACATCATTTGGAAGGAGGATCTCGGAATCAAGGGCGAAAAGAATCAGAAAGAGGGTAGAAATGTTACTGTGGTTTTGAGTGGTAAAGATTTGATTGTGGACACCGAAACAGTGGGACAGTACTTGGTGGGTTCATCATCAGGCGAAAAGGCAGCCGAGGAGGAAGGAACACGAGCATGGAAAAACAGACCTTGGAGAGGGTATGGGCTTGAACTGCTGTGGTATGAACAGCTGGATCATGCACAGGTGTTTGAGTTTGAGAAGACTAGGCGGCCAGTCATTAGGGCGATCTCCGTATACTCAAACACAGGCTGAAAATGTCCCGATCAACCGACATAACCACCAATGATTATAGACTTCCAGGTGCCATATGACCTCGGTATAATGCCTGGGATATGAGCATTGATACTCAAGAATTTCCACCAGGTGCGGGAGGAAATTCAACTCCTGACTCCAAAGCAGACTTTTACTTTTTTGAGAGCTTGGGGACTCGATGCGGAAATTTTGGATGGGCTTAGCTGTATGGCTCAGGGAAAAGGGTAGTTGTCTCTATGAAACATCCGCGAATGCAGGATTCCGACTTGGCTTCAAATCTGACACTGAACCACCTATGCGGGTGCATTTTACCCATTGTATTGCTTGGGTGGCGATTGCCCTTGCAGGTGAGGGTATAAAGAAGTGGTAGAGGACCACACTGACGAGCGAGTCTTGCCCGTCGCCTATGGGGCTCTCTGGGGGACCCCCTCCCCGGCTCGAGGGCGCTTGGAAAATGAATCAAATATGGGCGAGGTCGGTTTCTGGAAAAGTGATTTGATACCAAATCATTGGCGGTTGTGCACATGAAAAGCCCGTGCATTGCGACGATTAGACGAAATATCGCATTCCTGAAGGCCGACTTCAGATATCGAGGGTTTTTGGTCGGGGTAAGTTGTCCACGCGCAACCTCGGCTGCTTGTCAGCACGGCTGTTAAGTCACGAAGAGGCCTTGTCACTCATACTCGGTTCAGCGGAAAAAATTGGGCTGATCATGGAATGTTGCATCCGGACTAGTTTTTGACTCCCTCCTCTGACTTGCTCTCGCCGTGTTAGCCCCTTCTTTTTAAGAACCGAATATGCAGTGGGGGGCGTACCCAGATCACCTTCAAGGCTGAATTGGCAGCATCCTGACCGAGGCTTCTTCTGAGGGTTAAGCACATGGTACATCTATTCTAGCGTGGGGAGCCGACTTGCATAAGTCTGTTTCCGCAAAAGGAAAATCTCCAAAGTCACGGCGTACTTCGATCGCATAGCCTCATTTGACACAGTGATAGCATCACGTCAACCAGAGAGGATCACAGGGGTATGAGGCCCTTTAAAGCTGGGGATATTGTGTTGTTTAGCCCATTTCCGATTCCCGAGTTACTTGGAGAAAGGTTTTGACTCACAGGATACGGTTGCCGCTCCAATCTGCTCGCCGGAGGCATTAAAGGTGGCCAGGCCAACAAGGCAGCGCCACAATCAAAAGGTAACCTTCGGGGAAAGTTACCTTGAGGAGTCCATTCACCTGCAGTCGACATAAAACGCAGTTTTTGGGATATGATTTCAGTCAGCGATGGCAATCTGCTATTAACAGTCGAAACGAAGGGGTGTGAGGATTCATTCGTACGAATGACCATGGCAGCGATGTCTTGCCGCTTTGTGGTGGTTCTAAAAGCCTCGCTAGCATGGACACTATGAGCCTGCTCAATGTCGACACATTGCATTTGCCGAGGGTTGATACCCTGGTTTGAAACCAAATATATTTGGGCTCGACTTGTAATTGTTCTCTCCGTAGTGGCCTTAGGTAACGACCGATTGTGCTTGATCTTCGTTCCGATAAGAGACTCACCCACAGCTTACTCTGGGCGGGTTGGGAAGACAACCGAGGCCTTGTTTGCCTTGCATATTAGGAAAACAGTTAGATCGGCATTTGTTGTCAGCTTGAAACTAATTTATAAATAATCCCGTTCGTCTTTGATGGCTTCAATGAACTATAATGGTCATATGCAGTACCTGCGGGATCAGTCTAATGCCATATAGCAGCGAGCGGGAGAAGTATTGCCTTGTGAAGCCTTGATTTTGTATCATGAGGCTTTTCAAGGCAATCCATAGCTTGAATGAGCGAATCAAACCCTTAGCCTGAGGTAATCCTTAAAGACATTGACATGAGAATGTTCCTCGGGCGGGCATATGGACTTGTGGATTTTATTGGCCAGATGGCTGTTAATATCCAAGTAAAAATTCGCGAGGAATGCGGCCAGATAGTACTGAGTGTTGAAAAAGATCCCAAGGTGCTTGGTATAGCAGGCGATTCAAAAAGTCCCTTGAGAAACAAAAATATCGGAAATACAATAATAGCTAAATATTTCAAACGAGACCAAACGAGCCAAGCTGCAAAAACTATCCCTCAATTAAGCGTAACAGGTCTAATATAGTCATCATGTCTATTCGAGGGAGCCACTGTGTTCCGGGTGCTCGAGTGATGACTCTGCGCTACACCAAACTGGCAGGTAAAACAGACTTGGCGCCATGAGAGGTTGAGGGTGCATGTACGGTTCCATGTGCCAGAGATCTAAATACTGTTGTCCGTACTGATCGGGTGCATATACAACATTCATTGGCAGTGCTGGTAGAACATTTTGAATCTGAATTGGCGGTTGACACTGATAACCTGGCGTCGAGAATACCGCCGTGTCTTTCTGAGAATAACATCTGTGACGGTGTGGCATTGAAGGCTGCAGATCGGATGGCCACGGGTGTAGAATGTTCTGGCACGCATCCATGCTCATGATGGTCAAAGGGATTTAGTTCTGGTTAGGCCAACCCAAGTCTTCGTCTGACAAAGATGGCTGCGCCGAAAGCAGAGATTTGTGAAAACGAAGCCAATGTCTGTTGAGCGTGTCTTTACGACGAAATCTAGCTCATCTTTGATCTTAGACTGTGATGTTACATATAATTAACCAGATAAGTTACCTTCGCATGCAATTCTGCTGCTGACATATATATAGCCTATTACTAGCGTGGGTCTTCCGATGACGAGACAGACTAGAAGACTATTGTATACTGATCAGCGAACAATTTCTAGTTGCAGGTTGAGCTAAACGGCTCACATCCGCAAATGCTTTCTGGCATCCCTCTTGATAACAGACGTGTGGCTTTTCGCCGGTGTGAATCCGTGAATGAACTTTCAAAGCACTGCGTTGAATGAAAGTTCTTTTGCAGCCTCTGACAGTGCAATGGTAGGGTCGCTCTTTGGTATGTATTCGATAATGTCGAGAAAGATCTGATTTCCGACTGAAGGACTAATAACAGTATTAGACAAGAATAAATCAAAATTGCTCGAACGTAGACGCCGAGGAAAACAGTATACTTTGCCGCAATGCTCCCACGAACATTCGAACTGTCCTCCTTTACCTGGAGGCATGGATATGAACAAAGGCCTTTCCTTTATGGAGGGTGGAGGGTGATGTGCTACCAGAATGTTGTTTTCAGAAGAAATGAAGGGCGGGAAGTTGGCAAGAAGCATCGGTAATTAGGATTGCGCGAAGTATAGGAGCCAAAGAAATATGACATCGGCGGAGGCGGAATCTGATTAGGAACCAATCTGCCGGTTCTTTCACCTCGATATTGAAAGGAACGCCTGGTACGGAGTATATTACACATAACTAATTAATCCTAATGAGTTGGCGTAAGCAGCTGAAGCTTAACTTAACTCTTAAGGTTTACGGCAGCCTATTACGCGAGCTGTGGGGCTTTGGATTGGTACGCTCGTATCAATCATCCCAGCTGATCTCTAACCGTTTCCGCTTTGACCTATCTCGTTGATCAACCAGGAAGTAGTTCGCTATCTTGATCTAATATTGTGAAAGTTTCACGTTTCGCTAGCTCCAAGAAAGAGTGGGCACACCTCGGGTCCGGCATTTGCAAGGATCTGCAGATATGTAAGCAGTAAACATGCCTCGTCTCCTTACATTCTTGTTGTAATTCAAGGGAGGCTTGATTGTTCTTATCTCAGAAGGAATACATGAGGCTATATATACAAGAGGATCAAGTTGATTGAAATGATTGAAAATCAACTGGATGCTTCGTATAGGTGTTTTTTGAATTAATTCCGATGATGCGGCCTAGTTCCTGATCTGCGCCAGCCTTATATTAAAACAATTCTCATGAGTTCCGGGCATACTGAAGATCCCATTCGTGGAACGCGCAAATAATGGTTGTCTTATTTCTGAGCGGTGATGAACCAATTTGTCTGATAACACATAAAATGAAGGTCTGCAGCAAACATGTAATCCTATCTCAGTATTAAAGGTCAACGGTCTAAAGTCTTGGCGAACTGTTGAAAGCTGACTTCGGCAGAGCCCGTCCATGGGCCACGCGGAAAGCTTGTGGACCGCCCGCATTTGTCCATCGTCGGCCCCTGAATGCATAAATGTCCCTAACTATAGTTGGTCGTAGAGAGTAGTATATCAGGGATAGAGTACTTTTTGGATCTTTTTAGCACCCCATTTGCAGGTACATTTGAGCTTACATATGCGAGAACGAGTCTCGAAATCAAGCTCTACCCTCGGCGATCTCTAGGTATTGTGTATGTTCTTTAGTCGACAACGTAAGAGAATGCGTGTTGTAACTAGCCTAATTTAGGTGTGTCTAGTTGTGCAAGAACGCGTAGTAGGAGGAAGTAGGAAGTAGTAGGCGGTGTAATAAGATGTACTAGGGTGCAAATACTCCTGAAACGCCACTGCAAAAGAATAGTTTCAAGATAGTCGAAAATTCAAGAAGAAAGTTCGAAAAGGTTGAAGTAAACCCCCTTTGCCCGAAGAGCCACAGCAAGTGCATACTGCGGCTGAGTAGGGGGTTACCGGCAATATACGATACGTACCTGATGGCATCACATCCTCATCGCTGATATAGTTGACGAGCTGCTGCTTCTTTACGGTATCTGTCATGGTGACGAAAGCGCAATACTAGAGACGCTTCAATTTGGAGATCGTCTCTTGTATTCGAGGTGAAATCGGCTTTGGTCTTGGGTACATGATGGTGCTCTATCGGACGACTGGTCCATTGCTATCGAGTCAAATCTCGAGAGGGTAGGAAGCTCCATGAGCCATCCAGCATCTGGGACAGCCCACGCCGGGACTTGGGGGAGGGGGCCGTGAAGATGTCTGCCACAGGAAGGAAGTCAGCTCTATGTACACAGACTCAATCAACGGTCAGAGGATACGGATCACACTCAGCGTTCGCCGGTATTGATGATGTATCAATCCGTTCAAATTTCTATAAGAGGTTCTGTGATAGAAGTTCGTCTGATCAGCGATTGACCTCATGGGGTTGTTATTGGGCCTACCATATAAAAAGGCTCTACCGTAATCTACCAGGGGTAGAGAGCCTGTCATGGTTGTCATCAAATGTGTTCAGATCTGGACTGTACACAGACCGTTCGAGAAGCTCTATTGTGAGATTGTTAGATAGGACATAGTGCATTTTTCATGGGTCAGATGAATCAACACCTCACCTTGGTAGAAACTTTTCGTGCTACGGTGGATGTATTGGAAGCCTAGCGGAACCCTGGTGATATAAGGGGTTAGTATAAGCTTCAGCTCAGGGGAGGGTGGTACTCACGTATTGAAGTCTTTGTATATCGGGCCTTGAGGAAGAGTGTTATCAGTGAGAGATAGGTAGTCTTGAGCTGATGGCTGGGTATACTTACAAGTATAGACAAAAGGAGATGATCACAAGTCAATCTTCGCAAATGATATGTGCGAGGAGAGATGCAAGAGGAAAGTCAAGAAAGACGTATGTGGGCATATTTATACCTCCCAGGGCGGAGTTCCTCGTCTTTCGCTTAGTTCTGCAACGCACCACTCAGGGCTCAGGAATGGCATATTGTGAGGTTGCTGGTTCTTTATGCTCAAGAGGGGAAATGGCATACCAGCAAGCAGTTCTCTCCCCTAGAGAAACACGTTTGCTCACCGCTGGTAAGCAAACATGAGTAGCAATAAAAGATAGAAGGACAAATAGTTGGCAACGATTCAAGATTCAGGTAGGATGCGGCCAGGAAATGCCACCAAGAAAGTGGAGCAGTGGCTAATTGAGAAACCGGGGTTTATTCACTAGCGGATTCAGTTGAATCAACAGCGATGAGCAAACATGAGGCGTCCCAAGAATATGCGGAATGACAAATAGTTATTACGAGGAACCGTTGAAGTAGAGCTCGAGCCCCAGTCACTTGAATTAGGGATAGCCGAATGGGGTCGTAAACTTTATTCACTCGCGAAATCAGTTGACTAAACGGGGATGAGCAAACAGGAGTTCTATCAACAATATATGGAATGACAGATACTTGTTGAAGAGTAAAAGTTGAGGCGAGCACTAGGAAGTCCTCGTTTCTATTACTGAATATCTTACCGTTTCTCTCTTCCCTTGTCAAGCCCACTTAACTAGTGGACGGAGAGAAATCTGTAATCAGGCGAAATAGTTTTGCTAGCTGCATAATCGCTTGCACGGCAATGAATCATACGGGCGCATAGAGAAATTTGAGCACACCACACAAGACACGCCCTGGAGGGAACGTGAAAATTGCCGTTCCTCCTCAAGCATAATGTGAACCGTGGGCAGCCCAAATTGGCAAGACCATAACAATGCACAGTCGTTCAAGTTGAGCTAACACCGGGTACCTTGGATCCACACCGGTGCGGCCCGTGGGTCGAGGTGGGGCCACCATATCCACTCTGGTGCCTCAACGTTGAGTGAACGACAGTGAACGATCAGCGAGGAAAGCCAGAAGCACTCAGAGAATGATGGTGAATGAGAGATTGCTCAATTTTGTGCGACCTCCGAAAACTCTCCACGGCGTCCTTGGAATCGCTTTCCATTACATTTCGGCCGTTCCAGCAAAAAGCACCGCTCCTCAAGTAGCGGGTGCCGGGCATACACTACTCTACGAAAGACACAAAAGTGCGTCCCGCCAAAAGTTGAGAATTGGAGACAGTTGCTCACTAAGTTGATATGCCATGGGCTTTTTGATAGTAATGCCATAATCAGAGTATATTGACAATCACCAAGAAGTCAGAGCTCTCTGCAGCCTCTCCGCTGCCAATCTTGGTCACATAATATCAGCCCTTAAATAGAATATGTGGACACGTGGGACTTTGCACAAGTCCAGTCATGGATATATGGAAGGAATAACCTTGGATAGCAATCATGTAGGCGTTACTTCTCTCAATGTGCAGCAAAGACAAAACCTGTCAAGCCGTGTACCTCAGTACTTCACAATAAGCCGCCAGAACTTGGGCATAGTCAAGCGGAGGTGACATGGAAGCCGCACGCAATTCGACGGGCCTCTTCAAAGTAAACCAATGGCCTGACCACATTCCTCCACCATGGCACTTTCGCACGCGCAGCATAATGCTGAGAACCTTCATTCTGACTCACTTCTCTGAGGTCACCGTACCACTACTGTGAACCATGGGCAAGCCAGCTCTTTGCCCTCCGATTGCAACTGCGCCAATTTTGTGATTCGACCAGTACTTTCTTTGAGTCAGGAATACTACACACCCAGATGGAATGAACGGTCGTGGTGCTGTCTGGCGCGACATGATTGGCGATCCATTCAACAGCATCGTCCAGCTCATGGTTCAGGACCGGTGAAGACATTGCATCGACCGCCAGAACCGTCCTCGGTGAGAAACCTGCACTGCTAGTATTTGCGAGAAAGCGTAGCTGAAGTCCATAAAAGCAGGCTCCTCCCCCGATCCATTTGTCTTTTTTCACACATCGCGGCCGCGGTGTGTCGCCTCTGACCTTCGGGCCTGAGGCTTCCGTGACGACGGCTGTTGCTGATCCAAGCCCAGTGACATAAGAATAGTGCTTCGCAGGGGGGCGCTGCGTTACCAAGTGAACTTCGCAGGGGGACGCTGTGATGACAATTGAGACCCGCAGGAGACCGCTGCGTCAACAAGTTCTCTGCAGGAGACCGCTGCATTACCAAGTTCTCCGCAGGAGACCGCTGCGTCAAATAAGTTCTCCGCAAGGAAAAATGCGTTACCAAGAGGATCCGCAGGAGACAGCTGCGAAACCAAGCGCCTCCGCAGGAGACAGCTGCGAAATCAAGGCCCCCTGGCAATGTGCAAGCACCTCTGCGTGGTGCTAGGGACCAGTATTCATCTCACCTGGGGACTGCAACTCCCATGGGGACTGAAGAAGCCAAGACTTGCACAGTAGATAGACTAAATCATGAGCCATGGCAGCCCACTGGGAAATGCAATCATCACATTATCAGTTCAGTCGATTCAAAGCTCTCTCGTAGGCCATACCTAGAGTCGTATTTAGTAAAACCGCTTTACGCAATAGGTACCTCGACATGCCCACTGATGAGCCAATTCAAAGCGGCCATCTCGAACTGCACGAGACAT